GTTTCTACTGAAAACCCAACCTACCCTCACCAAGGGGGATTTACAGACAGAAAGGAAGAGAAACCACAGCCAGGGAAGGCTTTATACTACTGGGTGCTGTTCTCCAAGGGCCATCACAGGGATGTACATCCATAGGGTGCTCATTAATGGCTGCCATTACATTACTGCCCTGGGACAGCTGACCTCAGGAAGCTACTCTCTGGCTGTAAACGCCTGACCTCCAGGGCCCTTCTCTGTGGGTCCCTCTGGGCAGTTTCAGATGTTACCCACCACGCCATATAGTCTCCTGTGTGTTGCCTTCCACTCGTACCACTGTGCGTCCAATCTTGGATCAAGTTTTGGAGTAGCTGAGGCTATTCCCAAGCAAAGGGCAGTCAGGAGGAGTGAAGGATTCATGTTTCAAAAACCTAGGAAGAGGGGGGGAAAAATGAGTGATCTGATTTAGACTAATCCTTCTGCAAAGCCATCTTACTGTGGGATAAAAACATTTAAATTACCTTCCCTGATATTTATGGAAGGTCTGCTGAAGGCTACGGATGTGGGTGGAGAAAAACAGGCCAAGGGCTTACCAAATAGGGGAGGTATATGATTCAGCCACCAAAATGAAAAACAGGCTGACAAGTGCTGCAGGAATTGAAAGAGACTTCATTGTAATAGCGCAATGATCATTTAGGTTTTGATTAAGGGCCTCGGGGCACCTTATGGGTCTGAATCTTAAAGCAGGAGAAAGAAACTGCCGGTCCAGGTTATTTACTCAAGGTACCGGAGTGACCCGGGAAATTATGTATCAGGACTCTGCTCCCAAGTAAAAGCAGGGATCCCCAGGAGTTAGGGTTCCGCCTCACACCCTTCTGCTTGACTCCTGCACCGCAGGGGTGCGATATGCCTTCGAGCCTTTGTTTCTGGAATTTGAAACCTTTCTGACCGGCCTCCCCGGGAAAACATGGGCCGCGGGGCACCCAGCACACTTGGCCTCCGCAGCCCACACCCTCAGTCCCTCCCGCAAACCCGCTACACGATCACGTGGCTCGGAGGAGCACCGAGCACAGAGCCCCGATGGCATTGTCTGCACCGGCCCAGCTCTACCTCCAGGTGCTCGGACACTGGCCGGGCCCCAGGTGACGCCGACGCAGCCGGGAATGCC